CAGATTAAAAAAAATAAATAAGCGTGTATGTTCTATATTATTAAAATCATAGTACAATTGTTACACATAAAAGCCTTTTATCTTCTGTTCAGATTTTAAAACATTTATCTAAGTTAAAACATAAAAGAGAATCAGCTACAAACTGACTTTTAAAATAATCTCTTGTACCAACTACTGGAAATCCGGTTTATACTTTCATCCCATGTTAAAGGAAGTGGATTGCTCTTTAACTGGAGTTTGCATTGCCAGTAACAGGCTTATTACTCAAGTAATTCCCCAAAGGTTTGCATTCCTGCTTAAACCCATTTATAGTCTACCAAAGTTGTTTTACCTAAAGATACCACGCTCCAACAGTCTAATCCTGTAATAAACTATTCTCCCAGGTGGGAGATTTCTTTTCTTTTCCATTACCTGGTTTATAAATATCTAGCTGCTCTTTCAAATGAGTTAATAAATAAGTCTTTGAATATATTGGTCAGTCTCTTGTGAAATAATCTGCCAGTTTTTTGTTTTTTTTTAACGGTAGGGTGGGTCTATCAATTTAAGATTTTTTTCCTATATTTTCATCAAGCATCTTCTACACCCCAGCTAGAGTCTTACATACCACGGGAGGTGGCAAATGCAGTTGAATTAAAACATTATAAGAATTTTCTATTAATGACCAGGATGCAGAATATCAACCACATTAGTAATTTGGCCAGAGTTCCAAGGGTGATAGCGATGGTACTTGGTTTACCTGGGTCCTTGTAAAATACAGATGGAAAACATTGCAAAGATCTGAGAATTAGAGTAGAGCTCAGATCCTGGAATGGTCAGCCTACCAACCTATGTTTTATGTTTCCTGACATTTTTGTTGGTGAATAGAATCTTGAGTAATTTTAAACTGGAGTCCACTTGTAGGCATATGAGTTGGGGCATCATAAAAGGCAGCAGTTTGTTACTTTTAAAAAATCCCAGAAGACAGTGCTAAACTATTTCTGTATTAATGCAAGAAAACAGCATGGATGTGTCCATGTAAGTTACCAAGAGTCCAGCTTCACTTGAAGGAGACTTGACTTTACAATTTCTCAAGCATCTCTTGTTCAGTAGTCCACAAATCTAAACTCTGATTGCATCTTTCCACATATGACCTTCGTCTTCTTTATATTTTATTTCTTTTTTGTGTTACAGTCCATCCTTCAAAGATGGATTGAGCATATATATTTCCTTGTGGAATAACTTCAGTAAATTGTACTTGTTGCTTTCTGCTCCGGCTGTTTGGGTCACTAGCAAAGGATAAAAAGGGCTCCAGGATTACTCCTGTAGGAAAGCTGCTGGGCGCTTCTCTGTGGTTTTGTCTTTCAACAGGGGCATTAGTCATCTCTCCTCCTAACTGGCTGTATTCCCCAGCTCCCACTGTCGGCACTAATACCCATCTTTTTCTATTTTCTCTTATTCTCACATGCTCCATGGAAATCCTAGCAGGGAACATTAACTCCATTTTACTCATAAGGCCTCTGATGTTTTCCTGTTTATGTTCTTTGCCAGAATTGTAGAGAGAAGATAGAAACAACATTTTAAGAAGAGGTTTTTTTTTTTTAATGTTACAGGAAATTTGAATAAGAAAAAGGAAACCCAGCAGCAATTACGGGTTGTCCATGACAGAATCTACTAGTCTACATTCCAGTCATTAGCAGAGTTTACCATTGGTTTAAAAATGGAATCTGTTTTTACATTTTAAATGATAAATTAGTATGTATGCAAACTCATTTTTAGCTTAAACCCATTTTTTTTAAGCAGTACCCCTAATGCAAAAGATTAAGATTGATGGATAAGCAAGTTGCTAGTTGATGGGTTTCAGGAATTGGCATTTACTCTGATTGCATTAATTACAAAGCCAGTTTTATAATGACAGAATTCTCTGCCCAGCAAAGCTCGCCTGGTGTTTGTTGTTTTAGCACCATGTGCTTGCTCTTTTATTTTCTTAAGCTTTGATTGTTTTGCAGCTGCTGTTTTTAATAGTCTGTTTTCATTCTCATTTTAAATGTTTCTTAAAAGCATTTTGTCTGAGAGAGCCCCTCCCCACTAAAATTTTTATGGAAGACTAGCACAGAAATGAAAAATAGTTAAAATAAACAATATGCTTTATCTGTCTTCAGATTTAGAATGACTGTAGAACAGGCACAGATATCTTAAAGTGTGTTATATGGACTCTTCTGATTTGCATTGACAGAATGTTGATATTGTTCCATTATTTTAAGCAAGATGTAAAATATCCTTGCAAATTATTTTTAGGAATTGAGAATACCATAGTTTTTCATAATGTTGTATAGGGAATTGACTGCTGTCTGATTTGATCCAGTATGTTGAGATGAAAAAAATAGCATTTTTCCCCCCCAAGGGTAGTTTTATTGCAAGTTGTAGAAATCCCTCCCATGTTGGAATGTATTATGTATTGGAAAGGAAAGGTCTGTGTTCAGACAAAATTTATATACTTGAAGTTTTTGGATGCTATATACTTGCATTTGCCTCAAATGTTATTCTACTCTTAATAGCATTTAGTAGGTTGCTATTATTATAAAACTGAATCTGTTTGCTTTCTTTCTCTCTCTCTTCCCAAAATTTATTGGGTGCTTAATATTCAAGCCAGTAAAGATTGCAGAAGTGTTTCCATTCTAACAGTTAACCTCTTGGGTTGAATTTTTCCATGCTTCTGGCCTTAATACAGATTGCTGTAGTGGAATAGAAACCAAAGGTAATAAAATTTATAGGAATTCTGCCATATTGGCTTCAATGGGATATTAATTGCTTGCACTCAATGGGAGAAAGCTTTTTGGAGTGTGTACTTTATTAAACAAGCAAATAACAACAAGAATAGTAACAGTGTAATACAATGCAATCAAGAAAAATAAATATCAAAATGGCATATAAATATGTATTTATACACATATTGAAAAATCATCTAATATATTTAACATTTAGTTTTATTAAGATAAATGTGTAAACTTAAAATGTAAAAAGGGGTGGAGTTTGGAATTTTTGTAATAAAGCAACTTCAAAAATATTTAAACGGATTGCTGGCCTGTCAAAAGAAAAATAATTCAAATGTTAAAAATTAGCATATATAGACAATCTACTACTGCAAAGTCAGCTATAGATTTATCCTTACAATATTGTATAATTATTCCTTTGGCTACTCTTACCCCCATGCATTAAACAACCATAATTCTTGATGGATTGATAAATTCCAGTGTGACTTAATGTTAGGCATAGAACAGTTACATTTTATCTTGGGTTCTGTAGTGATCCAGTTAAGCTACTGAGAAGCCTCATTCATTCCTTTCTCTTCAGCATCTCTGCAGCTGCTGTGGAGCAGTTTGGATCAAGACTGCAGTGGAAGTAGAGGGAAATTTCATCCAGCTTAGGTCGTTTGTTGGAAGGAATCAATTCTGATTCTTCAAATATCTCTGCCAACTGAACTGGCTTTCAGTGAGGACACTGTCAGGTGGATCTGAATCTGGTTCTTGACTGTTCCCTTTCCAAATGCAGATGGGAACTCACCTGGTCCAATTGTTCTTTAGTGGTGCAAGGAGTCCCACATTGTCTATCCCCTCGTAAATTAGGTAAAATCTTCCCCACAAATTAAGTGAAGAATTGTGGTGATCCCATCTAGGGTTTAGTCTGCCTTAATCCTGGTCAGTGATGAGACCAACTAAGTATTTAATTGACTGGAACTGTATGTTACACTAAGCCATGATTTTATAAACCATGGTTGGTTGAATAAACCCAGTTGTCTGGTTCTTAAATTTTGCTCAGTCATAAACTATGCTTTATACACCATGGTAATTAGGTTCACAGAACATATTAAGCCAAATTCAAAGCAAGTATATCAGCCAGTTATTGAAAGAGAAGGGAAAAGCTTGTAGAGAAGGACTATGTGTTCATTTCCATGACTAGCTTTCAGTTAAAAGTGAGGCGTGTATTATGGTCTGCACTGGACCAGTGTGTGTATTCAGTAATGTAGTCAGTGAAGGAGAAAATACTTCATTTATTTCCTAGTTCCATGTTGCAATGAGGAATGTATACGGTGTGAATGGTTTGGACGTCTCTTTCTTTTGAAGCTGTAACATACTATCTTGTATTCTTTTACAGACAAGAGCAGAGCAGTTACAAGATGCCTACTTCTTGCCCGAATTTGTACTTTCCCCACAAGGAAGCTTTTTAGAAGACACCACAGGAGAGCAGTTCCTTACTTACCGCTATGATGATCAGGTTTGTCTGCTGAATATGAAGATGAGGGTGATCCTTTTATCCATTTGGGAAAATGCTGGGATCTCTATGCTTGTTGGTGTGTTGGACTGGTGCTGTGTTGATTGTCTCTGTGTCTAAGCCAAGGCCATTACAGGTAGTCCTTGTTTAGCGACTGCCTCATTTAGCGACTGTAATGAAAAAGTAACTTTATGACCACACATTGATGATGGTCGCAGATCTGTAAAGCAAAGGAAAGTTGAAGTAAGATCATAAGCACAATTGCGGTTTCACTTAGCAACTGCTTCACTTAATGACCGAGTTGCAAGTCCCAAATGTCACTAAACAAGGACTACCTATATTGTGCTTAGATTAATGCACAGCTACAAAGAATAAAATGACATCCCAGTTAAATGTATCCCTATCTGAAGAGGAGGTTGTCTCAGTTTGCATAGGTGGGCACAAATTAAGAATCTCTGAGCATAATGCTCAGAGCCATATATGACCCCTGGAACATAATCCATTATGTTCTCCTTTTCAAGTCCCTCTGAAAGAATGAAAAATGAGAAAATGTGTGCTAATGAGACTCATGCACTCGAGTATTCCAGGGAATTGTGTTCTGTGTTAACTACACATAAAAATGTCCTTTTACAGAGAGATGACTCAGATTAATTTTGTCTGTGTTCATTCATAAATCCATTCCATTTCTGCATTGATCTGTGAGGGATTGGGGGGTTGGAAGGAGAGTTGAGCAAAGATCTACATACTTGGATAATGATGTTAATAACATAATGTATTTTAGACACAATTTGGGATGTTTTTAAAAGCCAAAAAAAAATTCATCACCAATTTTAGAGAATGAAAAGAGTAACTGTTTTCTCAAATGTATGTTAATTCAGGAAGTGGAAATTATGTTGGTTTCCTTTGAAATGAAGACCAAATTATTTTCTGTATCAATCCAAATATTTTACAAAAGAATTTCTTACAATCACCTACCGCAAGTCATAGGGAAGTGTAAGAGACAGAAACACCCTGAACTAACTCTCATACTGTATTTTTTTAATGGAAAATTGTTAATATTCACAAAAACGTCTTAGAGAAATCCCTAAATACAGTTAACACTGAGTAATTTGTAGCCATGGAATGTATCACTTTCCACATTTATTGTTTTGCAGTACTGGTTTATTTTGAGCTTGATGAATTTTTAGAAAAGTGAAATTACAAAGGGAGTTAGTAATGGATGAAGCAGGGAGTCTGGAAAATAACAAACCATGTTTCTTATAATTAGACCGGCAATGCGTAGTCCAGAAGCTATAGATAATTGCGCTAAATGTGGAATAGAGATATAATGGCAAAGAAAACAGCACTAAAGAGGCTCTGTTAATCTTGGCAAATGATCTAAAATTAACCTGGGAAGTGTGTAATGTGCTGTGGGAATTTATTCCTAACACAGGTCCTCCCCCAAATACATTGATCTTTACATGAAATTGGTGGGAATTGTATCATGGGCACTTAAAGCACCTGGGTAGCACAGTGTGAGTAATGCAGAAATTTATAGACCCCAAATCTGTGTAAATGGTAGAGGGAGAGTTGTCCTTTTTCCTCACCCAGCCATCCTGATTCTGGGTAATTCTGCTCACTGCAACCACTCTTTCCCTCAAACATAGTATGATATGTGAGAATGATGGTCATGTTAGATTACAGTTTCCAAAAGTGGCCAAGGCCCATCGGATCTTTTGAGGTCCAGCAAGGAAAGCACATCCTTTAAAATGCAATATATATTTTTTGGTTTTGGTCACTGTTTGGAGGAAAAATAGATTTTCTTCCCCCAACATGCTGCTTTTGCAGATGAATTAGGAAGCACTTTCCACCTGCTGCTTCTCTGTGTGGGCTGTTTACAACCACCTCTGTGGCACCTCCTTTAGACCTTCCTAGTTTGCTGCCAGACTCCTGTGACAGATTGTTAAGATCTGAACTGACCCATCAGACTCAACAGTTCAGTTCCAAATGAAATCCCAAGTCAATTAGATCACTCGCGCTTTAGCACAACTCTCCACTTCGTTGAGCTTCTTCAGAGTCTGCCTTCGGCTTTCATCTGTTGCCTTCTTCTGTCACCTTTCCTTGCTGAGACCACTCTTTACTTCAAAGGCTATGTCTTCTATACTCCAGGGCTCTTCAGCTGACAGAGGGGACACTGTGGAAGCTGAGAGACACAGCCATGGCATGGAAGCCATTGTCATTATCTGTGTAGAAGGCTAGGTCTTTCCCGAGTAATTGACTGTTAAACTGGGAGGACTGTCTTACATGCTGAAAATACAGCAATGGAGGCATTTTCTCTATCAAATGCTCCCTTTTTGGGGGGAGGGATTGTCTTCAATTTGGAGTAGGTTCCCTTTCAGATAAATACAGAGCTGAAGAGTTTGAGGACCCCTGGTCTAAGCCATAGGGCCTAGCTATACTTTACTGAACCCTGTTCCGCCACATGTACACATTTGGCTGGGTTGAGGTAACACAGTAAGCCATAACGCTTCCTCCACAAACCACAACTGCTGTGCTCACATTCAGGCAAAATCAAACCAACCACATTGTGGGTTAGAGTGATGTGTGAATCAGGCCTCGATTATATTCAGAGGAAAGCTTTTGAAAATCAGTGGGACTTAAAACCTTTTCAAGATTCCACTCGTTTATTTCAATGTGTCAGATTTGATTTAGTGAAAATATACGGTGTTATGTGAACTCTGCCAGTGACCTTATCCCTGAGAAACTTGGTGCCTCAGAAAATAAAATTAAACAAAAATAAACATGATTTGCAGGAAAAAAAGAACTCGCAGCTCATCTTTACCCTTGGCTGCCCCACACAGTTGGTTTTTTGTAGCTTTTGGTTGTATCTTTTCTATCTTTACAACACAACATTTGTTTCCTTTCTGCTACAATATTAAGTATGTTATCCAAAACCATAATTTTCTCTGAGGATAGAATGGAGGACTACTTCTACATATGTAGTCTGGTCATTCATTCCAGAGCTGGGATGTAAACCCATTAAAAATAATGCTGCTGCTGCTTATATGTCTTTTCAAAGGCCCTTGGTATCTTAAAAGACTTACTGTTAGTTTGAAATGGGAGACAAGTAAAATATTAATGGGAACAACTTGAAGTCTGTTCTGCTGCAGCAATGCTGCACATAGATTCATGTTCTGCACTCATAGTTCATTATATTCGGCTTTGGTCTGGCAGGAACATACTTATATTTCTAAGTAGAGCTGTATAAAACCCTTTAAATGCAACCTTGTAGGTATACGCAGATGGAAAATCTTGCAATTCCACATACCCCTATATTATTCAATAGCTGGAAGAAAAAAAGGGACATTGATTTGCCCCCGAAGTATCTCTACAGCCCCTGTTTCATACTTGCACTATAATAGTGTGCTACTCGTTTTATTGAAGTACCATTATTGTAGGGTGTGCTAGTGTAATTATGAATACTGAACATTTTCTAAGAAATATGTTTAGGTTTTTGGCTGCAAAGCTTGCTTTGTTCATTTTGGATGAGCGTGTATTTGGTGCCAAAAAATCCTGCCCCATGCATGCATCAATTATACACAATTACTGGAATTTATGCACATTAACCAATACAGTCAGTTATACATAAAATATGCTGCATAATTGGTGGCTAGATTTTTAATAAATTGCTGTAGTTGAAATTTAACTTGTCTTGAAATTGATTTCCCTGTGTGGTATTTGAATATTTTGCCTGTTGGATAGCCCTGACCAAACCCAAAATATCTTCCTGCTTATCCTGGATAATCTCAAGGACTATTCAAATATTTAGGTTGGCTGTTGGACAGTCTAAGATGTTATCTGCACTTTGCTATAAGTATTAGGCAGTGCCTTTCCTTGAAACAACTCTTTGCCTTCGTATTTTTATTTTTGCTTCTGCCCTTCTAAATTGCTCAAGAAAAATAGTTATTTTTCCCAAATATTAGTAGTCCTGGATAACTTATATACTGTTGTTTTTTTCCAACACTCAAGGTACTGCTTCCAAGTAGCAAAATCATTCCAGATGACAGACCACCAACAGTGGACATGAGTAAGGCTATGAGACTAATACGGTCATCTCTTTGGTTCTGTTTCTTAACTAAGATCTAGGACAGCCTCTCCCACCCTGATGCCATCCAGCTGTGTTAGACTTCAGCTCCCATCGTCCCTGATTCTTAGTCACTTTAGCTATGGGTGATACAAGGTACAAGACTGAGAAATGCTGAACAAATTTACATTTTGTTTCTTTTTGGAAAGAAACAGCAGTTCAGCCAAATGAGAAGTCACAAGCATTTTCTCAGTGTGTTTGTCTTTTGCGTGCTTGCACAATGTGTGGCCTTCCAAATGTTCCTGAGCCACCACAGTCAGCAGGGCCAGCCTGGATGGCCAGTGGTGGGGCATGCTGAAAGCTGTAGATCAGCAACATCTGGAGAGATGCATATTAATGTCCCAGTAATAAGATGCTGACTTTTTGGCATAGTACATATTTGTTTCAATCCACAATGCTAGATATTAGTTTAAAGTGAAATATTTTTCAACTCTTCCATCCTATAGGAAAAGGCTGGCAAGGTGGAGAAAGATCCTGTATCAAGACACAGAAACTTTGGAATGGTTGCTCACTTTCCAAGTTTGGTCCTTCATGTTAATTTCTTCCTATCTCAATAGATAAGCAGTTTCCTGGCAGTTGACAGCTCTGATTATCTGTATGGGAAAGTTGGATGGGAGCACCCATTTAATGGGGAAGGTGTACAGACTTCAGAGTTCTTCCCACACTTTTTAAGGCATTACAGCAAAATTGTATTACAGTATGGGCCAAGATGTATTTCTCCTTTGGTTGTCTTTTCTCTTTCATTTTCTGATCCATCCTTCATTCCCATGTCTCTCTTTTCTCAGGACTTCGTCCAATTTTTCAGTAATAAAATCAACCGACTATGCTTTCATTACTTTATCGCCAACATCTTTCTTCTACCCTTCAGATTTGACCCATT